GAAGTAGTATTAATCATTTAATAAACACCTAAGATATATGGCAACAAAAAAGGTGGCAGCATCAGCATGAATAATTTGGTTAAGGAAATGGAAATATCAGCAACTTAAACTCTTTTAGAAAAAACAATAATTTGGCAAGCTAAGTCTTAAAGGTGAGATTCTCTGCAAGCTCTAAGAGTTATAAATGAAATCTGAAACCCAAGAGAGACCACAGATGCAGAAACACTCCTTTATTTTCCTCCAAGACTTGTCTAATGTGGGGTTTGAATGACCTCTGTACTCGTCCAGTTCAGCAGCAGGAGGGAAGCGCCTGCTGTGCAGGACAGCCGGGTGCAGGCAAGGGGAGAATCTCTTTGTGCCAGCAGGGAGGGGAGGTGAACTGAGATGAGGATCAGAGTCCATGTAAGGGAAGCAGATGGGCCGGGCTGGGAAATAAATGGGAAGTCAGTGCAGGACAGAACCTCCCAGTGCCACCAAGCCATTAGACCATGTGTTCCTGAAATCTGTCTCGTTATTGCAGAGCAGTGACCGGGACACTGTGAGTTGCAGAGCTGCCTTTGGGTCCTACAGGAGGTGTGTTATAGCACGAGTTTCTACATGCACCATTTCCTTTTGCAACAAACTTCTAGCACATCTCTATTTTCCTGTGGCAATGAAAGAGAGGAAGGAAATCCTTAGGAGGCACTTCCAGGAAAGAAATGCTCTCTCTGCAGATGCAGATCTTTTAGGGCCCTCTTTCTGAAGGTACAATCAGAAAGAGGTAGAGGCTCTTAGGTAGAGGTTAGAGATAATGATTTCCAAGTTCACGAGCTATACTGCATGCAAGAAATTATATGCAGGGCACTACCTGTATTTCTTCCCCAAGCCCCAAGGAATATTTCATAAGACTTCTTTTCTTGGTTAAAATTATTTATTGGATCTAGCTAATGACTGTGGTGGAATTATATTCACCCAGTTCTGCATGCTCCACTCTTCTAAAGATCTGTGGTCTGCCAGCAGGTTACTACAAGCCGTCTAAATAAATCTGTTGGGGAAATGAGAAAGGAGCAAATGTAGATACAGAAAAACAGCTAGAGAGGAGAGCTGTGGCACCAATTCTATATGACGTAAACACCTCATCATCATCATCAGGTTTCCTAAATTATGAAAGCTCAAAAAAGGGTGACGTTCATACAATCTTTAGGCTCATCTCCTACTGTAATATTGCCAAGATTACATTCATCATACATGTAAATAAATTCATGAAAAAAATAAAAACATTGCATTTGACTCAGTATAACATGACATTTATCAGACTATATATTTCAGTGGTGTGATGCTTTGTTCTCTATTAAATATTATCTCAAAAGTGAATCAAATGGATCTCAATGAGTGCTCACTGTATTATTAAACAAACCCTAAAAATCCTTAATTTTCATTTTTTGATATAATCAAATAAAAATCATCCAGATTAAGACTCCCCAGAGAAGGGACAATTTGTCTTGATTTAAAAAAAAAACCCCAAACCCACAGTAATTTACTATCATCATGGCAGCAGTAGAATTGCAGTAAACCCTATTGTTTTACATCCTTAGCACTGTCATATTGATGCTTTCCCCATTAGTCAAGGAGATCAAAGAAACCTGATGTCTCACAAGGGGTTTGAACTACAGTGAAGAGAACTCTTAGCTCCTGGTCAGTTTTTGAACACTGTCCAAATCAGATGAAGAAAATGTTGGTGTTCTCAGATGAGACGTGTGTGAAGTGGGACTGATAGTCTCAGGAAATTCAGAATAAAGTAAAGAACCTTTTGCCTTGCGTATGATATTGACTCATGCCCAGCTCTGTAGTGAATCTCTCAATTGTTCTGCAGACTTTCATAATTTGTTTTGTAGTCTCAACCCTTTTTTTCAGCAGTACGTACCTATAGTTCAAACCTATTACTATTGTTCTATGCCGTAGCAAGTGATATCAGTAGAGACCATGGAATAAGCATAGGAATTGAAATATCCTGTCCTTCCTGAAATCAGCTTTAAATGTCAGATGCTAGCCAATGCAGGACAGTTTATGTTTGTTAGTTGCTACACTCTAGCTAGGCAGTGAAGACATTTATTTTCAGTATTGTAAATCATTCAGGTTTTAAATTAATTGAATACATGTCCACAAAATAAACTATTATATTAATTTTAATTTTAGGAAAACAATGTTAGACTTTTTAAAAATATGTATATTGACTGCAACAAATATTTGGGCTGCTCATACCCAAGTGCACCGACAAATTTGATAACTCTCATGTCAGAAAAGCACTTGTTAAATTAATTACTTCAGTTTCTCATTCCTCCTCTGCTGCAATCTGGAGCACTGCCCTGTGAGAAGTCCTTGCAGTGTATTGTAAGTCTGCCACTGTGAACTTCAGGACGTGCAGCTCTTCTCAGAGAACTGTGGGATTTCAGAACAAATCAGTATGTCCTGTCTCATAATTTACATTTTTTTCTTAAGATGACACCAAACTGACAGCACACCATCTGATAGCAATCCATGGTGGTAAACTTCCAAGGAAAAACTACAGCATGTTTCTCTACTGCTCTCATCTTGCTGTTTACATGTTGCAGAACTGTTAGAACTTACACACAATTCTTGGAAGGCAGTCTTTTGTCATCCAAAGATTCTGAAGCTGCGGCAGACCATTCCAGATTCCCATCAGAGCCTAATCCTCCCACTCAGTGCTCACAGTACATGCCCCAAATGGTTGCTACACATGCATATTTGCTCAGTGAATGCTCACGGAAGTGGTCAGCTTCACTTACTTCCTCTCAGACTTTCACAAGTACACTACAGAACTGACATTTTCCCCATACTAGAAACAGCTGATCAATGCAACACGTCTGTTTCTAGAGTAAAAATGGCAGCAAGGTGGAAAAGCAACATGTAAAGTAGATTGGAACATGCAGATATGTGGGACTAAAATCTTACAGCAACCTAAAATTTCATCCTGAACAGCATGTAGAGAACGCTAGAATACACTGCAAAAATACCTCTAATGTCATTTACCATATGAGGGTATTGAGAGCAACTTGCCAGCAAAACCTAGGTTTGTATGGATCTAGTGACACAGCAAACATAGGAGGACTCTGCCAAAATAGCTAATGTCAGGATCCGTGCATTTCCAGAACTTCTGCTAGCATGCTTTTCTTCTGTCACTCAGGCCTTAATAACCTTTCCATAACCTTAAATTATAAATACCACATGCAGATTGTTAGTTCATGCAGTTGGCATGGTGGCATGTAAATCACTGGGCTTCATGCTGGAAGCATAGGAGCAGGTTAGATAAACACCTGTCAGGCATGGCATGAGTATTCCCAATTCTCTTTCACAGAAAATCCTTTCCATTCCTATTTTCTTGATGATTTGGTATAAACCAACTACTTGGCACCTCTATTGAACAATTACCTTTCCTATGTCTCAGCTGGAGGCTGCATGAGCCTGCTTCAATTCTCTGCACTGTAGACAAAGATTCTATTTAGGATCAACAATAATTTTACAGTAAACTACAAACTAGTACTAAATTTAAAATAGTTGTTTACAGACTGTTGCAATGCCAGTAGCAACGAAGGTCTCACAGTGGCTGATGTTTGATTCTTTTCAGCAGTCCATCACACACATATAAGCAACCAAGAGCATTCACACTGTGGAAAGATACCACAAATGTACAAAGGTAAGCGGTAAAGATTCTGCAGCAGACCCTGCTCATGTCAACTGCACACAGGACATACCTCATTATTCTTACCAAAACTTGCTTTTATTTTGCCTTAGAGACCAATGTATGTCCTACAGTTGCCAAAGGTAAAAACTAGCTAAAAAATCCTTCTCCACTTTCATTAGTCCTTTTGGGTGGGGATAATGCACAGTGAGTTGACTATAGAATCCTACCGTGGCCAAAAAGCTTAATGAGGGTGAAGTTCCTATCAGAAAGGATGTGCAACAGAATCCCATATGATGCGCCCTGTCCTTGATCTGAGATTTCAAAATTTGTACATTTTGTGTAGTACCTGGCTAGTGATTCCGGTGTCTGAATATGAAAGTTTAGTAACTGCATTCGATTGGCTCAGAGCTATAGCACTGCATTTCACCTGAGAACGCTGTCATTTATGTACCTATATATTCTGCATCTATGTATATAAACACATAAACATATGTACCCCTCCCTAAATACGTAGCTAACGCATTTTGACTGAAATAAGGCAGACATACATACAGGAAGAAAATTTGCAAGTTCAAATGTAATTTGGAATTTTTAAAATCATCGTATGGTGATAATTCTAAAAAATTTATTCTTATCTTGATTTTGGAAACAGGACTGAATCCATTATTATTTGGACTGGAAAGTGAATAAACAGTTTCATTAAGGAGACATGTTAGCTCCAACAATGTTTATTGGGGCAAGCCTGCACTCCGGCTGCATATGGTGTACCTTTAAATAGGGCTGTTAAAATACCAAATAAAATGTCAAAGTCCGTCAGGTCTGGAGCTTTTATAAATTGTTTAGACTGGGGATAATTTGGATTTTGTACATCGTGCCTTGCAGATTGCGCGGCCCGGAGATAGGAAAGGAAAGGGGGCCAGGGAGAGGAACGCGGGGCAGGCAGCCTGGCGGAAAGGCACCTCCTGGGCCATCGCTCTCCTCACCGGCCGCCTCCCTCTTCCCCTCAGCCTGCACGCCCGCCGTTCGCCTCCCCTCTCTCTGGGTGGTATCCTGAGGTTACGCACGTGACTGAACAACCATATTAAAAGACAAAATTTAAAAAATCCACTTCAAAGGGCAGTGCCACAGACACTTGCCAGAGATGTGCAGGCTATGAGTAGCTTCACCTCGGGCTGTAGCACCCCTGCGCTGTAAGCACCCACCACTGCCTCAGCATATCGAT